TCAATCAATCAATCCACCATCTGGTCATGGTAGAGGACATACCAGATGCCCACAAAGGATGGAGGTTGGTCCTCACAATCATTGTGATATCCCTAAATGATCCCTTGCAGGTGACTCTTCCCAGTTCATATGTAAACTGATCCTCTTGAATTTATAATACAGGTAACATAAGGATGGATTCAGCAAAACTGGGTCCATAAGCAACACGTGAGGGATCTTCAGGTAGAAGCCTGTTCTGCACAGCCATCCATGACTCTTGCTCTAATTGAATTTTTCTAGAATGCCTAAAGGAAGATGAAAGTAGAAAACAAGCTGGCAATGGACAAGCCTATTTTTAATAAGCCCATTAATGTGGCACATTTAGGTGCTTAATGATTGTTATGAATTACATTTGCTTGAGCAATTCTAATTCTATACTACAGAAATACTTTCACAGTGGTGCAAAGATATAGATACAAGGATACTCATTGTAGCATGGCTTCCAATTGTGAAAAACTGGAAACAAATATTTCATCAATAAGGGAAAGGTTAAATTTATTATAATATAGCCAAACAATGAAAACCTGCTACTATTATCTGAATATATTGACATGGAAAGGTGTCCAAGAACACTTGAAGAATAAAGTTGAAAAATATGCATGGTAAAATCCCACTTAAAAAAATTAAGTGTGTGGGGGGGGTGGCTGGCTGGCTCAGTTGGTGGAGCATGTGACTCTCGACCTTGGGGTTGTGAGTTGGAGCCCCATGTTGGGTGTAGAGATGACTTTAAAAAATGAAATCTTGGGGCACCTGGGTGGCTCAGATGGTTAAGCATCTGCCTTTGGCTCAGGTCATGATCCCAGTGTCCTGGGATCGAGCCCCATGTCTGGCTCCTGGCTTGGCTGGGAGCCTGCTTCTCCCTCTCCCTCTGCGTCTCCCCTGCTCATGCTCTCCCTCTCTCTCTCTCTCTCTCTCTCTCTCTGTATCTGTGTGTCTCAAATGAATAAATAAAATCTTTAAAAAAAAATGAAATCTTTAAAAAAAATTCTGCATGTGTATACATGCATGCATAGACAAAAAGGTTCTGAAAGAATGCACACCAACTCTTAAAAATAGTTACATCTGCAAAATGGGATTGTGGGGGGGGGAGGTTTCACCTTTTACTTTATACATTTCTATCTTTTTTATGCTTGGATTTTTAAAATAAGTGTATATTTTTTAGCATGTATTATTTTTAAAGGTTTTTTTTTTAAGACAGAAGTAATATCTAAAAATACATTTCGTTCTTCTAATGCTATTTACACAGAGATAACCATACTTCTTGGAAGCCCACGATTTTCCTTCCGTAATATCTTTCCCTTAGTCCGCACTGCTCTCCTTTTGCTCCACTGAGTGACCTGATCAGGACATAGAGCCTTATTGAGCATTATTTCTAATTTAAAAAACCTGACTTATAAGGCATATGTGGAATATACTACCAGAATATCCATTTAGTGACCCATTTTTTTCACAATTTATCCCTTACTAGTTCCAGAGAGGACTTCGACTATTTATAATAAAAATAAATTTAGACAGAGAGGTAGAGATATCTCATAGATGGAATACAATTAAGCAATTAGAGACTGATCAAGGAGTCTCTGTTGGTGTGATGAACAGAAACACATGGGATGAAATCACAGAGAGGTAAAATAGAAAATGAAAATCAGGACCAAGGAAAGAGGAATAAAAATATGCTGGACATCATTCAACAGCTATTTGCTGATGGTAATTATAGGGATAGAAAACCCATCAGGCCTATGGAGCTAAAATTAATCAGCAAGTATTCACGGAGTACCTCCTGCTTCTATTACTGGTTCTGGCTTCTTGCCTGCCCAGTGCCCAGGCTGGAGACATTTGCATGACATTCAGCTTGTCAAGACGGAAGGAGCTAAAGAAGCAGGCAGAGGCTCACAGCAGCCTTCTATCTCTACCCCATCATGTTTGTTAGAATCATAGTCAAGCAAGACAAATTCCTTCTGTGAAAGACTATGAACCTAGCCTAAAAGTTAAAAACATCCCTGTATCACCTGAAAATGGCCCAATTAAGTAGAAGTACTATTTCGGCAAAGCAATAGTCAATCCATGTGTGTACTCTTTAAAAATTTTAAAGTACAAATCCACATTCTTTTTCTATTGAAGTCAGGAAGGGAAATCAGTAAGACCTCTAACAGCTATGCTAAATTTTCGGGGTTCTTTCCATTGCTGACAAACATTTTACGTCACGAGTAATTCCCTTAAAATGTCAAATGTGATGTTTATGTATCACTGGGAATATTTTGATAAATAGCTATAGTAGCGAACATCTCTTCTCACTCTCTCTCTCTCATTTTACCCCAGTCTTAGATGTCAGTGGTGAGAAGTCGACCTAGGTTTTGCCAATCAGACTGTATTTCCCTTACATCCCTTGGTCATAGTCATTGGTTCAGACATGAGCATGTGACCTAACTACACCAATGAAGCCCCTCCCAGGGACATGCACTAAAATTAGTAGAAAAGAACTCTCCATTGAAATTACTAAGCTGGTAAAATATTTTAATTCCAGGTGCTGTGGGCCACCAGGTGGAGATAGCCTTTTCAGGAGAAAAGCCAAAACAGAGGAAAGTGAAGTTAACAGATCATCCGAACACTTTTGACATCATTGAGCCCCTGGATCCAGCCATACCTGAAACTATGCCCTCTAGATTTTAAGTAAATCAATAAACTTTCTTTTTGCCTTAGCAGTGGGGTTTCTTTTAAATGCACCAAAAACCCATCCTGCTAGAATATTAATGACAAGCTTTCTTTATAAGTATTGCTTCTGTCAGAAATAATCAAATTACCTGGAGGAAACCCTTCATAATTCAAATCAGTCATGCTGGCCTCCTAAAAGCACTCCCTGATTATATTACCACCTCCATACCCACACCTACCTCGCTACCCTTAACACCCAAATGACTTCTTGATGCAAATGTAGTACCCTATGCATCTGTCACATAGTTCTCTATTTTTCACATGAGTCTGCATTGTTTGATAATGACTTACTACTGTATCTGTCTCCATTTCCTCCAACGTAGGTATTGTATCTTAATCATTTTTATATTCCTACTGCCTTACACTGGCGCCTAACATGTAGTAGTTGCTATTTTGTTGAAAGAATTTTATTTTGCTGAAGAAATAAATGAATGGGAGAGAAAATTAGTTCAGAAAGTACCTTCTATTAATAATGATTCCATGATTAATTGAAACCATCAATAAAACAACTAATATCAGAAGACCCAAAGTAGACCAAATTGCTATATCCAAACTAAACCCTCAAAGTATCAGTCATTGGTAGCTGTTTGGTTGGGAATTTTTCCTTTTTCTGGTCAATATGCATGATGAATGGGGAGAGATGGTCCCTTCTTTGCAAAACATTTACTATTTTAAAAATTCCATAAAATGTAATAATCTCTCTCTCTCTTTTTTTTTAAAGATTTTATTCATTTATTTGAGAGAGAATGAGATAGAGAGAGCATGAGAGGGGGGAGGGTCAGCGGGAGAAGCAGACTCCCTGCTGAGCAGGGAGCCCGATGCGGGACTCGATCCTGGGACTCCAGGATCATGACCTGAGCCGAAGGCAGTCGCTTAACCAACTGAGCCACCCAGGCGCCCTCTCTCTCTTTTTTAAAGATTTTATTTATTTATTTGACAGAGCACAAGCAGGGGGAGCGGCAGGCAGAGGGAGAGGGAAAAGCAGGACCCCGCAGAGCAGGGAGTCCGACTCAGGGCTTGATCCCAGGACGGGATCATGACCTGACCCAAAGGCAGATGCTCAACTGACTGAGCCACCCAGGAGCCCCTGTAATAACCTCTCCTATAAAATATTACAAATATGTGATATGATGTAAGACCAAAACAATATGTAATATGACGTAAAACCAAAACATACAACCTGTAGTGGGGAGTATAGGCCGTAGGTTGTAAGGGAGGAAGCAGGAAGAACAGTGGTAGTCAAAAACTTACTGTTGCCTGGTAGGCAATAGGGTAGGGTGGCTTCTGGTAGTGTCCTTATTGATGACATAGCAAAGAAAAACTGGGAACAAGAGCAGCATAAAAGGGGCAGCACTGTCTGTGAGCACAAGGTAACCGAGTGAGAGTTTTGTAATTAAAATGGACAAATGCTAAAAAAAAATTTACCAGACACCGGGATAGGATCAGGGCATTGGGATGAGCAAATAATCCCTCTATGTAGGCAAAAATCTTTGTAATTTCTAGATGAGTAAGAGAACTTCTGAGTATGTGAGTTCCAGTTATGACACATTACTGGTATTTGGGGTTTCCCCTCCCCCTCCCACTGTAAGGCAATCAAGTCTAACTTTCTCTGTGTGCTTCAGAGATATTTACTTAAACTCTAGAACTGCCTCTTTCTTTTCCTCCTTCTACATGCAGCTCCTGACTCCTTTTCTTAGGTCCAGCCTCCTATGCCCTCGCTTCCTTCAACCACTGAGCCTTCTTAGTCTTTACCACATGGCCTTCCTTTAGCGAAGACAGTTCCATGTCTTCCATAGAGCTACTGAATGACTGGTTTGCCTTCCTTTGGCCTCCAAAATGCTCCCCCTGTGCAATCATAGCTTCCCACCACCACTGCCACCACTCAGTACAAATCTCCACCTTTCCCTGGACCTTTGCACCTGCCTCCTCACTGCTCTCCCTTCTTCCTCTCTTAGCTCCTACCACCCAGGCTCCACATTACAGGTGGAATGAACTTTTCAAATAGTAAATTAAGTTATGTCCATTAGCGTGTTGATAAATGTTTGACCACTGCTGTCCAGGGAAGGAGGGGAGGGAGTACCCATGTGTCTGTTACACATTTTGCTGATATAAAAGATGTGTAGCACACAATTTATTAAAAAAAAATCACTCTTTAAATTCTGTACAGCCAACTGATTTTCACAGAATGGTTTCAGCAAACTTATAGTCATTGTCAATGTACAGTTGGAATTCAACCATATTTGGCAAAAGCAGACTATGAATAAATATTTTATTAAAATTCAGTTCAGAAAAATAAATAAAATTCAGTTCAGGGAGAAAAAAATTCCAGTTCAGCAAAGAAGTCGCGCATGCCACTGAAGTTCAAACATGAATGTTGGTTGATGCTTTTTTACATTAACAAGCAAGATGAAAGTGAAACAACAAAGATATATATTAGGATGACATTCGTTCGTCAATGATGTGAGCAACTTCTTTGCTAATTGGATAACAGTTTTCAACGACGAGAAAAATATTTCCTCAAATGTTTGCATTATTCATAAACTAACAGCTTTAAGTTTAACCTTCGTTACTAATATTTCTTTTATCACTTTCTTAAGTTTAGACAATCAACAAAAGAAATCAAGCTCTGAATTGTAGTTTTCCAATTTCTGTAAATACTCCACCAGTTGATTTCAAAGTACCAAAACAACATTTCTGAGTGCAGAGTTGGAAGAGATACTCTGTATCATATCACTATATAATACATGCATTATAAAGAACAGATGGAGATAACTTTAAATCATAGATACTAGTAAAATGTTGTAAAATAATTATGAAGTGATGTTTTGAGCAATTATTACCTTCATTTTTAGAATATTTAATTGTAAGTTTGTAAATAGTTTAGTTTTTAGTATTGGCTGTGATTAACAAGTGACAGACAAAATTCCTGAAAATTTACCAGTCACCTCTTGCAAGCTGATACAGCTGGCTCAAACTCTCTCCTGAATTGTCACTCCTCTACTTAAACTTTAAAGCTGTCCATTGCACAGATTATCTGGGGAACGGGCAAAGAGAGGCCATGACAATTTTCAATAAAATTAGTAATCACTTTTGTTGTGGTGAATTGATGCCAAAATTCTATGAGTCCCTCCCTGTTTTCTCAACTCCTTTTGCATGCATCATCCCATTTGAGCCTTATAGATTTCCTATGAGTTGATAGGCGGGGTAGCTATCATTATCCTTCCTTCACAGATAGAAAAACAAGCTATGAAGGAATAAATGACTGGCCCCAGCTCATTCAGTTAAGTGGCCCAACAGGATTTCAAAACTAGGGCTTACAGTGAAAAGTAAACAGGAGGCTAGAGAAAATTTAACTAATACTGAGGTCACATTTTTTAAAAATGTAACAAATGTCCTTATAACACTCCAGAGTCTGATATCAAGTATATTTATATCTTGTGACGGGATCCTTAAACCAAGGATGTTTTGATCTTTTAAACTCCAATATTTCTGACTTAGCTTAAAAACAAAATACAACCCAGTGTGGCCTAATAAATAAATAAGTTGTAAGCACCAAAATGGAAATGTAGGTTTTCAAAAATTCGCTGACCGATTCCACCTGGAAATGGAGCAGATTGAAACAATCTCTACCAAAGGAACATGGGACAGAAAAAGGAGATTAAATCAGAAGAGGAAGAAAGCTAATGACATAATGGCCAGGCACAAATGCAAAACAAAGTACGTAATATTTGTTACAATTATTCAGTGTACTTGCTCTAATGTCTCCAAACTCTAAAAACATGAGGTTCCTGGCTTATTTCAACATCTCCCCCATTTATTTGCTCATATTTACCTTATCCTTGAATCAGGTACTGCTTAAAACAAGTTCTGCCAGCATACGGAATATAGATTTAGCAGGACACCCATAGAGCATTTCATGCCTAGGAGCACAAATTGCGATAGTTTAGGTTGCATATGATGAAATCATTGAAAGCATTATGAGAAGCAGAAAGACACCAGGGATGCTGGTAACAATTTAGCACTTCCCAGTTCATGTGGGAATGTTAATTCCAACTACAAAGAGAGGTACCAAAGTGGAACTCATTATGATTAAGAACTCGCTGTACTAAGTGTGAATTGTTTACAACAGGCATGTCTGGTGTAAAATGCAAATACTGAAGCAGAAAGAGATGGGACATTTAAAGCTTAGCTGGGTTCTCTTGAACTTCTTACCTCACAAGGTTAAACAAGAATAGGACTGTTTCCCAAAGTCGAGTTATTTTTTTTTTTAAAGATTTTATTTATTTATTTGACAGAGAGAGGCACAGCGAGAGAGGGAACACAAGCAGGGGGAGTGGGAGAGGGAGAAGCAGGCTTCCCGCGGAGCAGGGAGCCCGATGCGGGGCTCGATCCCAGGACCCTGGGCTCATGACCTGAGCCGAAGGCAGATGCTTAACGACTGAGCCACCCAGGCGCCCCGCAAAGTCGAGTTATTTATTGTAAGGAGTCATCTAATAGCTATGATAGCTGTAAAAATAATTTTTTTAAGTAAGTTGTTTGGGTTGGCTTAATATAAAATTAGCATACTCAATGAACCATCATATTCAAAATTTTTAATACATAAAAATGTGGTAGGTATTTATTTGATTCCAATTTACATTTACTATCACAGATGTAAATTGTGTGTGTTGGGGGTAGGGGTGAGGGAATAGAACAGATGGAAGATAGAGCCATGACAAAGAATTATGGGCTATAGGAAACCAAGTCACAAAGAGGTATCCTTATGTAAAAGGAAATATATGTGATAAACAATGGTAGAGGTGGGAATGGATGTTGTATATGCCCTTTCTTCAGCAGGATGGACTCCTCTTAAATGACACTACTCAATGCCTTTATCTCAACTAATTCAAGTTCTCCATCCTCCCTGGAAAACAATCGACTGATGCTTAGGGAATGCTGAACACTGCAGCCAAGGTTAATTCTTATGTTCCACACATTTCTGCTCCCACCAAGTTAAGCTATAGGTTTACCAACAGTTCCTTAGGGTTTCCCCCCCCCCAAAAATCTTAATTCCATTTGTGCTTGTTATTGTAATTAAATAATTAAATGATGAAATAGGATTAAAAAAGTAATAGTTGTTCTATAAAATCTAAATGGAAAGATGCCATATAAACAATCACTGTCAAATTAGGTGGATGCAAGACAATTTTAACAGATTGGGGTGAGGTCAGGAGGCATAAATCATACAAATTCAGAAACTGACACTCATTTATATTTGTAAGTACTTTTAATTTTTTGTTCCAATTAAAAAATGAGGGAAATAGTAATACTACATATTAATAATAATTGATGCTGCTGATTAAACACTTAATAAGTCCCAGGAATTAGTCTAAGCACTTCACATATATGGAACTCACTTAATCCTTCTAGTAACTTGGGTTAATACTATTATCATCCCCATTTTGCAGATGACTGAAACTGGGGCACAAAAAATTAGGTCACCCAAGGTTATATTCTTCATAGTGGTGCAAGTCAGCCAGCCAGTCTTGTTCTTAACAGCTGTGATGTACTGATGCAATGTGGGTACAGTTTGTACACAAATGAAGACATGAACTCCAGTTAGCAGGCTCACAAAAGCTTTCACCAAAGAGGTAGCACATACATGTTGGGTTTTACATTTAAAACTTTATATTTCCAAGTGTGATTTTTTTTTTAAATAATTCCTTTGCTTTAACTGACTTTTCAGTTTAATCAAATACTAGTCCAATTCCAACAGCTAAAAGACTTTGCCTTCAAGAAATGTGCAGGTGTGGGACACCTGGGTGCCTCAGTCGTTAAGCATCTGCCTTCCGCTCAGGTCATGATCCCAGGGTCCTGGGATGGAGTCCTGCATTGGGTCTCCTTCCTTAGCAGCGAGTCTGCTTCTCCCTCTGCCTGCTGCTCACCCTGCTTGTGCTCTCTCTCTCTCTGACAAATAAATAAATAAAATCTTAAAAAAAAAAGAAAAGAAAGAAAGAAAGAAAGAAAGAAAGAAAGAAAGAAAGAAAGAAAGAAAGAAAGAAAGAAAGAAAGAAAGAAAGAAATGAGCAGGTGAAAGATGCTGGTTTTAACAGAATGGGAGTTGGGATCTCTCTATGCTGGAAGGGAATTATTATAGATACTTGAGCAAGAGCACAACATGATTTAATTAATATTTTGGAAGAATAATCTGCAGTGAGGCTTGGATTATTTCAATGGGAATGGGAATGATAAAACCATTCTGTCAATAAATGTTGGCCATGGTCAATAAATGTTAGCCATAAAGCATAACAATTCTAACTCTGAAAAACAGACACTGGGTTAATCTACAGTCTTTGCCGGCATTCAGATGAATGTGACAGACTGAAGAATGAGATTTTTTTTTCTATCAAAAAATTAACAGGCATATGTAAACCACTGAAAATGTTACACTTCTGCCCAACTGAAAGTGCTTTCAATAGCAATTTTTAATTGAAAACAATGTGAGTCTTTTTCCATTTCAAGGCAATCTCCTGGACTTGCAGACAAAATGAGTGGCAAGAAAGTTAATGGAGAACTCTTGTAAAATCAGTTATTATTTAAAAAACGGAATATATAACCCAAATTTAAAGAGGTAAGAGATGAGGTGGATTCTTTTCTTACAGCAGAGATTCAATTATGAAATAGGTTTATGGTATGGGGAGAAGCGTTCTATTAGATAACTGTTACTGTACCTTTACATATGTTAAACATATACAAATTATATATTTTTATAAGGTATCCATACACGTAATAAATTCCTAGTATAACTTTTAAGCAAAGAAGGATAATCACATTGGCATGAGTTATTTCACACACTTTTAAAACATAAATATTACATTAAGTTTGGGTCTTGATTTTTTCTCATCAACCATTTGGCAGTTTGGGGACCCAATCCACGCAAGACATCTGATTTTAGTAATTGAGGCTTCTAAGGTGGAAAAACTGGCAAGTAGGCAAAACAGTGATCTTGAAGTAAATCCTCAGTGTCCGTTACGAGCACCCACGGCAAGGGCCTCCCTCTAGTTAACTAGCGCCAAGGGAAAGGAAAAGGGAACCATCTCTTCTGGACCCAGAAAGAGGCTGTGTTAACAATTGGGTTGCTCAGCGCCCTTCGTAAAAATTCCATGGGCTGAAGGTTCTACGTTGGCAAACGTCTTGGTTCCCTTTTCCGAGGCGGAGAGCGGCTCTTCCTTTGCCAAGATGGCGGCCCTAGAATTGCCTGGGGGCGGCCCGAATAGATCGTCTCCGAACAAGCGCGTGACTAAAATGCTTAGTTTTCTCCTTTCACATCGGATAGCACAGGGGGGTAGCGCCTACCCTTCAGAATCGAGGAAGGGCTACTTCGGCTCCCTGCGATGGAGAACCTTTGCCAAGATGGTGGACGCGAGGCCGGGCTGGCGTCATCGTCCTTTACCAAGATGGCGGCGAGCGGCTTCCGGCATGCGCTTCCCCCAATCCTCTTCAAGACGTCAGAGCAGAGGCGGCCGCTGCCAGCGTCTGAGCGCTGCCTGAGGAGTGAGTGGCTGCGGCCGAGCGCCCGGGCAGGGACTAGGTGGAGCTGCCGCAGCCTCCGCCCCCGTCATGAGCTGGCAAGCGCTGTCACCTGTGGGGGCGCAAAAGTTACCGCCCAAACCCTAAAGCCACACAGCACCTTTCCCCGAGTCACAAAAATCATACTAAGTGTCGCACAAGGTAGGAGGCTCGGTCCCGGCAAAGCCCAAGCGCAACGGACTCGGCAAGCTGGGTTAGGGGGCGGGGCGGGCGTCACCAGCGCGGACTCCCCTAGCCCCACGCCCCTCTCCTTGGGGAAAGGCCACGTGTTTCCCTCCGACTGAGGGGGAGGCGCGTAACGGGAACAGCTGGAGGGAGTTAAATGCTGACATTTTAAAGCTGCGTGTGTTTTGTTTTGTTTGGAGGGACAGGGGTCCCGTGTACACGAAAGGGTGGGCGACGCATTGAGTGGAGTGCAGCAAATGTCAAGATTCGGGTGAGGGGCCTCCACGGGAAACTTGGACGCGGGCCCTGGAGGGGGTGGGAGGAGAGGTCAGGAGTTTGCGGGGGAGGGAGGGCGCACTTTGCTACCAACTTACTGTTTCGCCTGCAACTTGCTTTTAGGCCTGCCACCCCCTGTTTTCCTTAAAAATAATAATAATAAAGTGCAAAGAAATTCAGCTCGCCGGAGGTTTTGCATTTGGCGTGCAACTTCCTTCAAGTGTGAGCGCGCTAGCAGGGAGGGACGGTGGGGGTTGAACTTGGCAGGCGGCGCCTCCTTCTGCCGCCGCCGCCGCCTCGCAGACTCGGGGAAAAGGGTGGGGGACAATCGGTGCGCGGGGGAGGGTGGGTTCTGCTTTGCAACTTCTCTCCCGATGGGAGAGCGCGGCGGCGGCGGCACAGCGGGCCGCCCAGACGAAGCGGCGGTGGGAGACCTGCCGGAACGCGACTCCCCCCGGGCCAAGAGTACGTAAGCGTCGACCCCCGCCGCTGCCCTCCCTTCCGTAAGCCTCCACAGAGGGCGTGTCTGGCGGTCCGGCCCCGAGAGCGGCAGACGCGCTGCGGCACCGTTTCCGTGCAACCCTAGTAGCCCGCGCTAAGTGACACACTTCGTGCAACTCGGCTCCAGGGCGGCGGCGCGGACCACCCCCGCGGCGCTGCTGCGGGCCGCGCCCCGGCCCCCCCCCACCCCCAGACAGCCCGCTGTCACCCGCAGGGGCGCTGACGGCGGTTGCCGCGGAGGGACCCGGCCAGCTCTGGAGTGGGTCGGGAGTCGCGGAGCTGGGCGGGGGCGGGAAGGAGGCAGCGAGAAGACAAACTAGAGAAACTCGGCTTCCCTCCCAAGCCCGCCCCGGAGAGACCAGGTCGGGCCCTCGTCGCTTCTCGTCTTGCCAGGGGGGTGGGTGGGCTAGGGGAAGTCCTGCGCGCTCGGGGGGCGGCGGCCGGCCGCTACGTCCCGGGCCATGCCGGGGGCCGGGGGCGTGCAGGCGCCGTCGCGCCCCCGGTGGCGGAGCCCCCGCGGAGGGCGTGGGGGCGGGGGCCGCAGCCTCCCCTGCAGTTGCCGAGCGTCGCCAACAGGTTGCACCGTTCCCCGCCGCCGCGCGGCTCCTCGGGCGGGGAGCGGCCGGGGGTGGAGTGGGAGCGCGTGTGTGTGCGAGTGTGTGCGCGCTGTGGCGCCGCCTCCGCCCGCCCCCCGATCGGTCCCGCTCGCTCGCCGCGGTCGGGCGGCCCTTTCGCGTGTCCGCGCTCCCTCCCCTCCTCCTCCTCCTCTTCCTCCTCCTCCTCCATTTTGCGAGCTCGAGTCTGTGACTGGAGCCCCAGTCACCGCCCGCCCGTCGGGGACGGATTCTAGTGGGTGGAAGGAGACGCCGCACCCGGAGCGGCCGAAGCTGCGGGGCGCCGGGACGGAGGACGCGCGCCTGAGAGCCGGGGCTCGCGGGGATCGGCGCGGGGCGGGGGGCTGGCTTGTCAGCCGGGAAATGGGAGACTTTCTCAAATAGGGGCTCTCCCCTCCCCCCCCATGGAGAAGGGGGCGGCTGTTTACTTCCTTTTTTTAGAAAAAAAAAAATCTCTCCCTACCGCTCCTCCTGCTTTCACACGTTAAGTTGTTTATCTCGGCTGCGGTGGGAGCTGCGGACGGTGGCGGGTGATCGGCGCCCCTGCCAGAGGTAAGAGGTGGGGGGGCCCGGGGCCCGCACGGGCGCCCGCTCCCCCGAGGCGCGGGCCGGGGACGCGGGGCCGGCTCGGGGGCTGCCGCGGGAGCCTGCAAACTTTTATTAGCCTCGGGGAATGGGGGTGGGGGCTGGCGAGGGCCGGGTGATGGTGACGAAAGGGCAGCGCGCGGGTGACAGCGCTGGCCTCTTCCTCTCCCTCGGCCGCCGTCCCCGGGTCGGGCTGAGGGGGAGGAACCTGAGCTCCCTGCGAGTGGAGCCTCTTCGAGCTGCCCCGGCTTTCGGTCCTCGGGTTCCCTGGCGCGGAATCCTGGCTTCTGCAGCCTCCCCACCCCGAAGTCCCCTGTCAGTGCCGTCCCGGGGGGCCTCCCAAACACGCGTTTTATGGTGAACGCCGAGCCGCGTTTGAATTCTACTCGGCCGAATGTTTCCACTCCACCCTAGTGCGCCCGAGCGCGATCAGGGTTTCTGTCGAGGCTGCGGCGCGTCTCTCTTCTGGCGGGCGCGCGGGGTGTGTGCGTGTGAGTGAGTGACTGTACGCACGCAGGGGGCTGACAGCCTGCAGCTTGGAGACTTCGGTCAGGGCTGGCGTTATCTGGTGGAAGTGGGCGTGTCGGAGAAAGAACTCAACAGGTCTGGACACATTTCTCTTTTTACCCTTGCACTTTTTTCTCCCCGGGGAGGGGGTTGGTTCTTCAGCGCTTGGCATCATTGCGCGCCTGCCGCTCCTAAGTGGCCCCTTGTAGAAGAAGACGTTCCCCAGCCGGAATAGTGCTGAGGTGCGTCTTTTGTCCAGCGCTAGTTGGACGTTCGGGGCCGCAGGCTGGGTAACTGCCGCACTGTAATACCACTTAAGACCCCTTGGTACGGTTCACTAAGGCCCATTAATGTGACAGTTACTTGCAATTTAAACTGGGGGCTAAAGTCGTTGGAGGGATCGTTTCGTTTTGTGAAATACTGTTTTGGTTTCGAGTTTGAGGGCAGCTGTCAAAGCGGCGTGGAAATTCATTAGGCTCCATTTGATACCTTGTGTTTAGAGATCGATATCAGATAAACACGGTGGAGGGGCGGGGAGATGAGCAGTTTACCCTCAAGATGTGTAGAGGCAGGTCCCAGCCCTCTCTCTACCTTAATCCCACTCCACTTCCCGTGAGGGCCGGTGAAGTTTCTGCCTCGGAAGGTCTCCGTACAGCAAAAGTTTCCTATCATTGGATGGGATTTGACCATGATGTCCCAAATGTGCTTATCAAAGTGTTCGCCTGCCTCTTACAACATCCTGATTATAAACAATATACTACCAACCTAATACTCTTGAGAACAGCCTCTGAATGGGGATTGGTGAGGGTTTAGAATACAGAGAAAATTATTCTGAGCATTTTATTGGCTGTTCTTTTACCTGGGTTTATATGAACGTGGTTTCACAGTTGTGGGGTTTTCCTGTTTTTAGTACCTGGTTATTTGGAAAGGAAAAACATCTTAATTTAGAGGTATAATAGTGTCTCATACTGAGGGTCTTAAGCAATTTGAAAAATAAATGTAGCTTCATTTAGATTTTATTATGTTGTAAGATTCAAGAGAGCTGTATTTGTTGTATTTAAATAAGCTATAATTGTAGTGAGAAGCTACTGCACATTCTACTTTGCTTGTTAGAATCCAAATTTTAGTTGGCCCATATACAACGTATTTCATTTGGTATATCCAAAATTTGAAGGCAAAGTTTGAAACAGACACATTCAGTAAGAAATAGGGGTTAAAAAATAAGAGCCTTTCTTAGTATACTGGAAGATCATCATCGTTTATTTTTCAAATAAAATGTGCATGGTGACCAATAGATTGTACCAAAGGTTTGGTTGTGTGACTAGCAGGTGGGAGGGCAGTTTGTGAGCAGTTTGAGAGCGAATTCTGTGATAGTATTTACCAAATTTTATGTGTATGGGTTCTCAGAAAAGCAAACAGCCTTGACTGATTGAAAGGAAGTAGGGATTTTAATGATCATACTCTTTTTAAATGAAATACTTTGACATCAATTTGAACTTTAGGAATAATCAGATGTAATGAATTATAATGTCTGTGATTAACAAAGTTACAGTTCTGTGAGTGGCAGGATGAATAGCCAAGCTTAGTTTGATACAATTTTGCCCTCAGCTGTGCAATTGAACTGCATTGTTCTTTTAAATGTGGCACACTGAATGGGAGCAGGGGATATGGCTTTTTTATTCTGGGAGACAGAAACTACTTTTCTGATAACAAGGAATTAGATTCAGAGTTAACTAAAAGGCTCATTTAACAGGCTCTTACTAATCAGATCACTGAGATAATGTGACTTTATAGCTTATTATGTTTCCCCCCCTTCTTTTTTCTTTCCTTTTTTTTTTTTCTTTTTCACCTGCCTGGTAGCTGATGATAATATCTGATGGACTCCAAGGAATCACTAAGCCCCCCGAGTAAAGAAGTCTCTAGCAGTGTGCTTGGTCGGGCGAGGGGAAATGTGATGGACTTCTATAAAACCCTAAGGGGAGGAGCTACTGTGAAGGTTTCTGCTTCTTCACCCTCACTCTCGGCTGCCTCTCAGTCCGACTCCAAGCATCCAAGACTTGGGGTTGACTTTTCAAAAGGCTCAGGAAGCAATGCACAGCAGCCAGATCTGTCCAAGGCGGTTTCACTCTCCATGGGATTATATATGGGAGAGACAGAAACTAAAGTGATGGGAAATGACCTGGGATTCCCACAGCAGGGCCAAATCAGCCTTTCCTCTGGGGAGACAGACTTTCGGCTTCTGGAAGAAAGCATTGCAAACCTCAGTAGGTCGACCAGTGTTGCAGAGAAGCCCAAGAGTTCAGCGTCTGCTGCTGTTTCTGCTGCCCCCACAGAGAGGGAGTTTTCAAAAACGCTCTCGGACGTGTCTTCAGAACAGCAAAATTTGAAGGGCCAGACTGGCACCAACGGGGGCAATGTGAAGTTGTATTCCACAGACCAAAGCACCTTTGACATTTGGAGGAAAAAATTCCAGGATTTGGAGTTTTTTCCTGGGTCCCCAGAGAAAGAGTCGAGTGAGAGTCCTTGGAGATCTGACCTCTTGATAGATGAAAACTGTTTGCTTTCTCCTTTGGCAGGAGAGGATGATCCATTCCTCTTGGAAGGAAACTCGAATGAGGACTGTAAGCCTCTTGTTTTACCGGACACTAAACCTAAAATTAAGGATAATGGAGATCTGATCCTATCAAGCCCCAACAGTGTGCCACTGCCCCAAGTGAAAATGGAAAAAGAAGATTTCATTGAACTCTGCACCCCTGGGGTAATTAAGCAGGAGAAACTGGGCCCAGTTTACTGTCAGGCAAGCTTTTCTGGGGCAAATATAATTGGTAATAAAATGTCTGCCATTTCTGTTCATGGTGTGAGTACCTCTGGGGGACAGATGTACCACTATGACATGAATACAGCATCGCTTTCTCAACAACAGGATCAGAAGCCTATTTTTAATGTCATGCCACCAATTCCTGTTGGTTCAGAAAATTGGAATAGGTGCCAAGGATCTGGAGATGACAACTTGGCTTCCTTGGGGACTTTGAACTTCTCGGGTCGATCGGTTTTTTCTAATGGCTATTCAAGGTAAGAACGCTTTTCTATTTCTTTTTTTTTTTTTTTTTAATTTTATTTATTTATTTGTGAGAGAGAATGAGAGACAGAGAGCACGAGAGGGAGGAGGGTCAGAGGGAGGAGGGTCAGAAGGAGGAGGGTCAGAGGGAGAAGCAGACTCCCTGCCGAGCAGGGAGCCCGATGCGGGACTCGATCCCGGGACTCCAGGATCATGACCTGAGCCGAAGGCAGTCGCTTAACCGACTGAGCCACCCAGGCGCCCCGCTTTTCTATTTCTTAAGAACGGATATGAAATGGATTGATTGACTTATATCTTCAGTGATTTGTATGTGTTTTCCAGTGACTCCTGTGCTTTTTCGTGTGACTAAGTTTAAGTGGTCCTTTTGAAAGTGGACACGGTTGAAAGACACCCTAAGTGATTTATCTGTACATAAGCAAGTTTTCTCTGAAATAATGGCATTCAGGAATCATTGGCCAGTAGTTTATTTAAAAATTCAAAATAATGTTGCTCATTAACAGGTATCCTGAGTAAAAATTATATAAATTCGAGGGAGTTTGATATCTAATACTTCATTGATTGTGTGTTCACTGATATATTTTTAAAATACGCTCTTATATTAAAGTGAAAAGTACCCTTCATATTTTATAGAAGCAAAAGTGTGTGCTGTATTCATACACTTGTGAAATGTTAGCTTGAGGAGGTCAAAGGGTTAACAATTAAAGATCTAACAAAGAGCCTTTTCTTCACACTGAACTATCTGTGGCAGAATTTGAGTTTTGAGATTGCTAAAGCAATGCAGTGAGCAGTGAACCTGACCATACATAGCCTTAGACGTGGGACTTGCCCATAGGTTCCCGATCCTAAAGTACATAGTTGTGTCTGCTGTTCAGTCTTGTTAGGAAAGGAATTGGTGGCAACATGGTACAAAACAAAATCTAACTTTGAAAAGTTCCTACAAGTTCTCAAATAGATACATGATGGCCAACATTGTGAAGCTTTGAATCTCAGCTGTCATTTGATTTCTCTTCTTTTTTTCTCAGTCCTTTGTAAGTATACTGACATTTCCGTTTGACCTCAAAAAGGTCTGTTAAAATGGAATTACCAGGAAAAGGTGCTAAATTTAGAGGTATCTGTTGATAGGAGTTAAGTTCTCTACCATGTACCCCTGTCCCCAATTCAGATAAATACTGGGTTGTAGATCACATTTTAGGTGTGAAGGAAATATAAAAATGTGATTGTAGAGAAACAGGATTGATTAATTGGGTGTGGTGGTGGTGTTTGTTGTTGTTGTTGTTGTTTTGAAAGGCATAGTAGTAGACAGTGATTTATCTGTACATGAGCTTTTCAAGGGTTTGGTTTTTTTTTTTGTTAGTGGCATTCATTGTTCCCAGTGATTAGTCAATGAAGATTTTATTTAAAACTCTCTGTAAGATACT